ACCTCCCATCCCCACTTCTCTCTCTTTTTCCTGCCTCCTTCTTTTCCTCCCTTCTATCTTATACCCTTTTCACTGTCTCTCTTTGCCCCACTCCCTGTTGGTTGAAAGTGACTGAGGCACGAAAGCTTTGGCAAAGTTGTTTGGGGTCGCTTAGCATCAGTGTTCCCTGTAAGCTGTTGAGTCTTGTGAGCAAAAATCCTACTCTGTGAGCTACCGGCATTAAAGTTGTGAGCGAGCAATTTGGCTGCTGCATAAATTAGTTTGCTCTGGAGCCATCCCTTCCTGAGCGAAGACAAAAATGTGTGAGCTGGAGGCTAAAAAACTGTGAGCTAGCTCACACCAACTCAGCTTAGAGGGAACACTGCTTGGCATCCCTCTAATTCCCCCCCCTCCCCCAGTCTTATGACATAGCCTTGTGAGATCTTGGTCAACATTCTTTTCTTAAAATTACAGGTATTGCTTACCTGATTTTTTTTGGGGAAAGCCCCCCTTTTAATTTTTCTAGTTTCAGATTTCCCCTCCCCCAAAAAAGCTTGGGCTCCCCTGCAGTTTTTAGCCCCCCCTCTCTCTGTCTTTGGCCCCATTGTGTGGATTTTTTGATCTACAATCTGGATCCAAGTTCAGAATTATATGTCTAGGTACATAGACATAAACGGTTGAAAAAAGACCTGGGCTACAGTTATGTCATGTTGGCTGTCATAATGGAAGACGATTGCTTGGTCCCTTCGGGGCTTCCTGAATGGTGTTGAGAAACTGAAATGTTCCCCCTTCCAGCTTCTCATCAGTGAAACATCCCAGATTTGTCCCTTTTGCAAGGCAATACATATACCTTGTTTGTGTGGGAAGGCCTTTTCATTTGGGGATGGTCGGCTGGCCACCTGGACATATCGCTCCACATGATGGTCATACCTCTACCCTCTTCCCTCCCTTAAAAGTTTTCCCTTCACTTTTCTTGGATTTAAAAAAAAAATGCTGCAGGTAGCAAACTGAAACTTTATATTCTGTTTCGTCGTCTGGGGTATCTCCCTTATTGTGCCTTTGATGAGGCTTGTCCCAGGAAGTATGGATCTCTGATGAAAGCTGAAAATGAGTATTGTTTTAAAATATAAATTGAAATTGAGTATTGATTCCTCATTAGCTTTATTTCTCTATCAGAACCAGTGGACCGACCTACCATCCTACTCATCGCCAACTCTCAGAACATCCTAGCTACTTTCTTGAGTGGTGTGCCCGTCCCTAACATCACTCCCACCAGCACCAAGCAGACCACTGCCATGGACTTCAACTACGCCGAAGACACGGTCTGTTGGGTCCATGTTGGTGACAGTGCCTCGCAAACTATCCTGAAATGTGCCAAGATCCCCAACCTCAAGGGCTTCGTTGAGGAGCGGTCCATCAACATCTCCCTCAGCTTGCATCGTAAGTAGATTACTGGTTGTACTGCAGTCCTGATGAGCTGCTATGAGGGGGACTTCTGCTAATGGTTCCCTCAGAACATGCAAGCAAGTCAGTGCTAGTTTTTTAAAAAAGTAATGTGGTTTGGTTGCAGTTTTTTCTTGCTTATATTTTGTGCTTGCGGTGATTTAAAAAACAACAACCCCAAAACCCTGTAGGAAATAGAAATGTATATTCTCTGGCAGAAACCTACTGATTTTATTACCACTGAACTTAGAAGGGAACAAACAGAGAAAGACAATATTTTTTGGGACGGGGGGGGGGGAAGAGCTCATCTTTAGTAGATGTTAATTAAATTATCCATAACCTTGTCCCTTGAGGCAAGGTTTTCAGTGTCTATCGCACAAAGCGGATGCTGCTGGACAGGAGGACTTGAACGATTTGCAGCAAGCCACTGAGGGATTCCATTGCTTCTTAGGCCATACTTATAGCCAGGGTTCTTTTTGTAGAAAAAGCCCAGCAGGATAGCTTTGCTCATCCAGGTCAGGGCACAAAGGTGTTAGGCATAAATAAATACAGGCAGGGCTCTTTTTGTAGAAAAAGCCCAGCAGGAAGTCATTAGCATAATAGGCCACACCCAACAGCAGGAACTCATTAGCATATTGGGCCACACCCCTGACAGCACAGCTCATTAGCACATTAGGCCACACCCCCATGTTACCAGAAGTGTGGTTATCCAGCCACACCCACCTTTTCCTTGTTATTCTGTTTACCTTGTTTATGGTCAAAACCCAGGGCTTTTTTGTAGCAGGAACTCCTTTGCATGTTAGGGCACACACCCCTAATGTAGCCAATCCTAATGAGTTCCTGCTGTTGGGCGTGGCCTATTATGCTAATGAGTTCCTGTTGGGCGTGGCCAACTCGGGAGCCAGCCGGAACTCTGTTCCTGTGCGTTCCTGCCCCAAAATAGCCCTGCTTATAGCTAGAATATCCCCTCCACCCCCATCTTCCGTGTGCCCTCGACTGCTTTCTGCATCTTTATGGATGACATGCTAATGTTCGAATGGATATTGTAACAACAGTTGAAATAAGGGAGACTAAAATGGTTAAAGACTCCTATCAAATTGGCCATGAGTTTTTCTGCTTTAATCATTGTAGAAAAGGCTAGCTTAACACCGCCTCCTTCAGTGCACACCTCCCAGGAAATTTACGGTGCAAGTTCCTTCTCGGTTCTTTTTTGTTATCTATTATTTATGGGTGCTGTTGAAATTTATAGTTTTATTTTCTACACAATTTTTCCCAAGGGAGTTTACATTGAGGATTTGGAAGCATTTATTTATACACATATGGCCCATTTTTCTGCCCAAAGGGACCCAAAGCATCTTACAACCAAGAGGCCTCCCCCCACTATGTACATAAACAGCATAAATTATATAAGTCAACCAATTAAAATGACAAAGCTCTTGGGAAGTCTTTAGCTGGAGCCGAGTCTAAAAACAGTAGACGGATGCCCGGCTACCATCTTTTATTGTATTTATCCTTCATTTTCCTTGACCTGGATAGCCCAGGCTAGCCCAATCTTGTCGTATCTTGGAAGCTAAGCAGGGTCGGCCCTAGTCAGTACCTGGATGGGGGAACCATCAAAATAGTCCAGGCAAAACCACCTCTGAACCAGGGCTCTTTTTGTAGAAAAAACCCAGCAGGGACTCATTAGCATAATAGGCAACACCCAACAGCATAAACTCATTAGCATATTAGGCTACACCCCTGACGGCACAGCTCATTAGCACATTAGGCCGCACCCCCATGTTACCAGAAGTGTGGTCATCCAGCCACACCCACCTTTTGCTCCTTATTCTGTTTACCTTGTTTGTTATCAAAACCCAGGGGCTTTTGTTGGAGCAGGAACTCCTTTGCATGTTAGGCCACACAACCCTAATGTAACCAATCCTAATGAGTTTCTGCTGTTGGGTGTGGCCTATTATGCTAATGAGTTCCTGCTGGGCGTGGCCAGCTCGGGAGCCAGCCGGAACTCCATTCCTGTGCGTTCCTGCCCAAAAATAGCCCTGCGAGTCTGAACCAATGTTCCCTCTAAGCTGTGGGTCCTGCGAGCAAGAATCCTACTTTGTGACGTTCTGGCATGAAAGTTGTGAGCGAGCGATTTGGCCCCTGCATAAATTAGTTTGCTCTGGAGCCAACCTTCTTGAGCGAAGACAAAAATGGGTGAGCCGGAGGCTAAAAAACTGTGAGCTAGCTCACACTAACTCAGCTTAGAGGGAACACTGCTCTGAATGTCTCTTGCCTTGAAAACCCCATGGAGTCGCTATAAGTTGGTTGTGACTTGATGGCAAACCCGCCCCCGCCCCAAAACCCTCTATTATTTATTTCTTTATTTATTTACTAAATATTTATATCATACCTTTCCCCAGAGATGTGTAAGGCCTCTTAGGCTGCCAAATAAAACAATCCTCAAATACTATAAAAATATAACTATGATAAATCCATCCAGTAACAAGCAGTTAAAATTATTATAATATTTACAGTCATGCAGGAGGGAAGGCAGCGTGGTATGTTTTGATCTTATCACATCTCAGAAGCTAAACGAGGGATGGTACTTGGACGGGAGACCAACAAGGGTGTTTCTGCAGAGGAAGGCAGTGGCAAACCGCCTCTGCTTCTCACTCGCCTGGGAAGTCGGTGGCGGCTTGACAGCACTTAGATATGTATAGTCATACAGCAAGCGAAAATCCAAGCTTGTACAGAAACCCCAAAATAAAAGCCCCAACTGCCATTTAACCAGTCTCTCCAAGCCACTTTATGTGTCTTCCTAAACGCCAGCAAGGCAGATTGGCTCTTAGTTGTGAGTGGGAGACCATTTGATAAAGCCGTTGATGAAAGTGTCTGCGAATGGGCTGAGACCATTCTGATCGTCTTTCAAAGGTCCTTGGCTGATCCCACAGAATTTGTTTTCTTTCTCAGCTCAGGCTCGAACCTGAATGTGACCCCTGGCAGTACACAGAACAGGAATCTAGAGAGAATGATCCTCTGTCTGTCTGTGGTTCAAATGTCTGTTTCCTTGTTTGTTTTTCCAGGGAGAACAGAAACCCGAGTTATTCACGATAGAATACCCGCAGTGAGGCAGTGCGGCTAGTCTAATTGTGGCAGAATCATCCCAGTCAGAACTCTTTACATTAAAAAAGTCACTAACCCTAACCCCCCACAAAACCCAAAAGGAAGTTGAAGCTCCATCTCTAGACTTGCAGTCTTGTGCATACTTGCCTACGAGTAAGGCCACAGTGGGACTTACTTTAAAGTAAACATACATTGGATTGGACAGTAGATTAACAACAGACAACATGAAGAACTGATTCTCTCTCTCTCTCTCTCTCTCTCTCTCTCCCCCTCTCTCACACACACACACACACACACACACACACACAGACACACAGACACAGCCATATACAGTCAGAATCTTGGTGTGTTGAGATCAGTTTTGCCTTCTTCGACTGACACCACCTTTTCCAGCATCTTTTATTTCTTGCTTGCTAGCAGATCCTTTTAACTGGAGACAGCAGGGATTGAACCTGGGACCATCTGAGCTCTCTATCTCTTGCTGGTATTCCCAGAAAGAAGAGGGCAGAAGAAATAATACTTAGCTCCATCCAAGATTAGCTTTTCCTGGCTCTAAACAGATGATTAACAGCATCATAGCCATACTTTGTCACAGCATCTTCCTACACGGTAGAAATGATTTAGGTGGGGATGCTGTTTGATAACTAGGGAGAAAAGAGACAGCAGGTTCAAAGAACAGGCGTTTAAAGGCAACTTCAGAAGTTCTAAGTCTGTAGCTCTTGGTTTCTTAGTAGGAGGTTGGACTGTGAAATGTCTTATCTCTAAGCCACTGATCCTCAAGCTGTGGGGTGCCCTTTCCACCTTCAGAGGTGTGGGAGGGCAACCTGAGTATTGGACGTTCTCGGGAGGAATAAGATCCAGGGGAACCTTGGTATCCTCATCAACTAATAAATATTCAAGCAGTGGTGGTAGAATTGCTTTGATTGGCTCTTGGCAGAGAATCCTTGGCCCCGGTCACACGGGCCGGCAAATGCGGGGGGGGGGGGGGCGTAGCTGTTTGCCCTGGAGCAAAGTAAAGCGTGGCAGCCCGATCACACCTCCCATCGAGTTCCCGTAGTTAGGCCGTTAGGGGCTGATCACACGGCTATCCTGAAGCGTGGCAAAGAAGTGGTGTGGCGTGATCACACCAGCAATCGCTAGGCGCCGCTTCCGTGGCAAATGGGACCCCCCCCCACCGACGTTTGTGCGCATCCTGTGGAGACTAAAAAAACCACATCCGGTTTGTGACGGGACATGGACGGGTGCCGGATGCCACAGGATTCAAGCGGAAACGCGATCAGACGCCCACCCCTGCCCTGTGGTTTCCGGAAACTAGTGCACTTTCTGCAGTAGTTTTTTACTCCGCATCTTCGGCGGGAAGCCATGGGTTAGCCACGGGTGCACTATGCTTCCCAGATGTCGCGGTGTGATCGCGCACCGAAAATCTGCCTGTCTTTCGTGTCTTTAGCGCAGCAACTTCTCCTTGTGAACGGGGCCCTCATTTGTTAGTTGTAGATTTTCTGGGCTGTGTGGCTGTGGTCTTGGCATTGTAGAACCTGACGTATCACCAGCAGCTGTGCCTGGCATCCTCAGAGGTATACCACAGAAAGATAGAGTACTCTCTGTGTCAATGTGACACAAATCCTCATTTGGTTCATATGGATTTATGGGTGTGATTGAACTCCTCATTGCTTTATTATTCCAAATGGTTTGGGAAGAAGGAAATCAAAAAGAAATTAGCTACTTTTTGCTTCTGACACTTGCCTGGGAATGGTTTTAGGAATGGACAGAGATATCTTGTTTCATTACACATCCAGTGTCAGTGTTGGGACATTACTCCCAAAGCCCAAAATCCTTGCTTGCAGTTGCATGCAAGGATCTTTACAAGATCTGTTCTGGCACACACGGTTGGC